CACTCGATAAAGATGGTTCAAGGATCTAGAGAAGGAATAAAGATGGATGATATGAAACACTCTTGGAACAAATTTTCATAGAAGATTCAAGAACTCTTTGTTGGGCAAATCCAAGCTTTCATTTTCCTCCTATGGCATTGCCTTAAAACCTATGTTGATAACTGTAGAAGTCCACATAATGGAAGCAGGAAGCTCTTTGAGGGTCCTAGATGCTAAAGAAACTTCTTTGGTTAAAATATGTTTTTTTTTAATTATAAGGATCTGATTCTTATGCTCTTATCATATTCTCTGTACCTGGTCAGTAAATATTAGTTCTTTTGTTAATTTGTGCTTCTCTCTTCTGCATATGATGCAACTTCTCCATATTTTATTAACTTTGAATCAGCTAAATTTCACTCTTTACAAATTTTTTCCAAAACTTTATATGAAAATGTTCCTCATGTGGTTGCTTTAGAAGAAAGAAAAGGCATCTCAATCTGGTGGAATCATTTGTAGGTTGCCTGTGAAGAAGTGGTTTGTCTACTTGATATTTGGTGCATTGGTTCTCATTCAGTTCATTTGACATGATTATCTATTCGTTGTTTTTATCTGTTAACCATTGTGGCATGTACAGTTGTTCATTCCTCTTATGCATCTAGTCCTTCAAATCCTTGATAATTTGGGCTACTTATATTGTGATGTTATTTTATTTAAATTTGTCCCCATTTTGGAAATGGGTCACTATTGATGTGAATAACCTTACTATGACATGAGCATGTCAACGCTAATTATATTTGATTTCTGAATTTATTATCAATTTAGGTGCAGCTAATGTTGCATTCTCTTCTTTGACAATTTCTGAGTGTATCTATTGTTAACCTACTGATTTTACCTTGCTATAGAAACGCTACCTGAATAGGCCCATTGTCGAACTTGAAATAGCAGCACAAGAGGAGATGAAGATAATTGAATTGCGTCTTGCTAGGCTTTTTAATTCTGATGCTGGATCAAACATTCCAGTCACAACTCGTCTTCCTGTTAGTTCTCCAACTAAGTAGTAACGTCTTCATTTTCCTGATGTTTTAAACAAGGAGAATCTTTTTTTTTTTTCCAGTTATCTTTGTCACACAATTGATCATTTTCTTCTCACTTTTACTTGTATAACTGAATGTCTATTGGAGGTATTTGAGAATAAATAATTGCCGTTGAAATTCAATAGTTTAGATATGAGAAACAAAGCTGTCAATTGAGGTTGGGCAAGCTCTGTATTTGTTGTTACAAAAACAATGTTTGGTCAGATGAAGACATGGAAATTCATTCTTAAAATTTATTGCTTTGTTCATCTGCAAATGTCTACGGTTGGTCTTGTTCACTAGCAGAGTGATAGAACCTGCTTAAGGAAACAGAAAACCAAGATAATGTGTAGACTGTTGAAAATTGAGTTTAAAATAGGCTTTTTACACTATATTTTGTGTCGTTTAAATTATCTTCTGTGGGTGCAATCATACTACATTTGATTATATATATGGAAATTGGATCTTAGATTCTTCATATCGTGGATTCCAGTGATTAGAGGTAAGGACATGTATTAGTTATGCCCGAGTTTGGTAAGATGGATAGATCCCTTGCACGCTTTTATGCCCATTTGCACATATCCTTTATATTCTTATAGATTAGTGGTTGGGTAGATGTAAAATTTACTGAAGCAACTCTCATGTTGCTTGTAACCATTAGGAGTAATCTAAGCCAGAGGAAAGAAGGATGAACATATTGCTTTGTCTGGATGAATATCTTTCTCAGTGTGGTTTCTCTTTTGGGAACTTGCTAATTGCATCCAGAGGATGGTTAAGTGGTCTGTATGAGTTATTTTCTTTGGTATGCTGTTTCTCAAGATCTCTAGATTCATCATAAACCATTGCTCTGTACGTGGTAGTACCTGCTGCATGTGGTCCAAAGTTTATTCGCTGGAATGAACATATTCGATCGTATCTTATGTGCTTGCAGTTTGTTTTCACCTGTACCGAGGTAATTCCAGGAGCATTGTTTCACTTGATTTGGTGGCAACTTGATTTGGTTGTATAGTCATTTTCTTCGTCGATGTCACACTTGGTTTTGTTGATATAGTCATTTTCTATGTTAATGTCTTACACCAGTCATTCTCATTTGAATATTGAATAATTTCTTTCACGAGATGAATAGCCTTTGATACTTGAAGTTTCTACATGCAACCTCTAGTGCTGCCTTCCATGTTTAATTGATGTGGTCTGCCTAGTTTGTCTTTTTCACTCATGTTTGATAGGTATATCATATAAGTTTAGTTTACTGTTTACCTTGAGCTATTTCAATTTAGTCAATCATGGAATATCGAGTTGATTCCAATAGGTCTGTGAAACATCGTTTTCGAAAACATGTGTGCTACTTTTTCTTTATGATGACAATGTTTAACTGGAGACTCTGGTGAAGGTGCATAACTAGTGTGTTTACTTTGCTGCATTCACTTTCTGTAAACTCCGGCAAGTCAAATTAATCTAGCTAGTATAACTTCAAAGATTCCAGTTCTGTTAACTTTGCGTTTAACTTATGCTTCATCCTGACATCTCATGTTTTGAATCTTAAAAGGTCGTTTAGGAATCACTGGAGAACATATTATGGCTATTCCTTAGGTACCTTCCAGTAAAACCACTGAAATTTCAGATAATAGTCATCACACATGTCCTCCCAGCACAACCCATGTCCTGGATGTTGCCCGTGGCTCTCCAGCTTCCGGCATGGAGGTTCACCTTGAGATGTGGAAAGGAACTCATCAGCACCCATCATTTACAAACAGAGAATCCACCCACCAGATGTTGATAGGCTCTTTGATAACAAATACTGATGGCTGCAGTGGCCCTCTCTGATGGGCATCGTTGACCTTATTACTCCTGGCTTTTAGCAGATAAGTTTCAACACCGGTAAATATGGCTTCTTTGCTTGTGTCAGCTTGGTGTTTCAGGTCAGAGAAAACCAGATAGCAGGACATTGGTGTTTCCTCTGCTGCATTCGTCCTTTTCGTTCAAGACATACAGGGGGAGCTAGATATGGTACTCTTGGTTGCTTAACAGATACTTTTCTAGGTAAACTATGGATGTTACTTTGTCGTATCGGAAGTATATGATGTGCCAGTATCGTATACAATTCAAACAGGTCTAAAGTATGATCATGGTGTTTGGACAGATATTATTGATGATGCTCATCTGTATCTCGTTTGGCTGCAGCTTTGGCAGGATCCAGTGTGGGCCCCTCTCACTCTCATGGTGTGCAATTATGTTAGGTCATTACTTTTGACTATTTTGACAAATGTAATTCTTAACTGTGAAAGTGTTTATCAGCTAAGTTAGTTGATGTTTTTCCTATGTCAAAATTTTATTTTACACTCGTAATAAAATATATAATTTCTTTTTCTAAAAAAATTTTTGCAGCACTATAAGTCCAGTGAGTTATAGTATCTTCATATTTATCCATTAAACTCAAAATTATCATAAATGTGGGCAAAAATATGTTTATTTTTAATGGTTTATGAATTTTGAAAATATTTGCTATTTGTAGGGCCGTCGATGGAATTTTATTTACATCCACAGGTATATATACATTTTAATTAAAAGAAGGGTGTTTTTTAGGGTTAAAATTCAATATATCAAGCGGCATCATCGTAATTTCACTATCAGCCGGGGGGGCATATATGAGAACTTGGCTCAAAGACGCCCAACACATCCCCATCTTCCCAGCTGGAGCTGGCCCAGCACGTACCCTTCGGTACATTCTGTTTCATGAGGTACTCATCGCTTCTTGATCTCTGGTTCATTAGGTACGGAAGTATCATTCTGTTCTACATTTTCTGTATCTTTGATCCCCCCCCTCTCTCTGTTCTTCCGCCAGGGAAGGTTTTGTCTGTGGTGCACGTCATGGCCGCGTCCTCGCCAAACGCCGACAATGATGGCACAAGCGATCAGGTGATCTTTTCCGGTCTTCCGGGTTTTTTTTTTTCGTTGAATTTAAAAGGTGGGTTTTGATTGGCTACCTGAAAGTTTGTTTCATGGTCCAAGAAAATGATTCGAGAACGTGGCTTTTGTGTGGCCGACGACGAGGACAGCTTCTTGTGAATTGTGTGGTGTCTACTTACGAGAGTATGCCATATGATATTAAACAGGGCATGATTGTTGGTCTTGGAATCAGAAGCTCGTAAGACTTTCTCTAGTATGATGTGTGTTGTACGAAGGTGAAGTCCAAGATAAACCTATTAGGGGGTAAACATAGTCAACAAACAATTAAGGCACCTCCGTAAACAAGATTCTCAGTAAATCATTATTTATTGGGCACCTTTTTGAGGCGGTGTTCCGTCCCGTCCCCTGTTATAATTTTGTTGATTTTTTTAATAATTAAATGGTCGTTTGTTTAGTGCTAGATTGATTTCATTTTTCACAAATGTCACAAGGCACTAAGGTTTTTGCTCAATATTCTGGATCGTGAAATTGTTCCTTTGAGGTCCATCGCACTATGCTTCTGAAATGTGTTCCTTGTATTATTATTTTACTGTTCGCCAAATATTATTGTATTTTCACAATATTTTTGGGGATTTGATAGGTTTTGGTAGAAGACTGCAGGTTTACAAGGATATTGACGCTTAACAGGCCTCAACAGCTGAATGCTCTGTCTACTCCAATGGTATTTCGTGATGTTCATTTCTTTTAATGTCTTCCATAAAGAAATATCTGTCTGCAACTTTGAGGATTCATCAAATATTGATACTAGTCTGGTGATTTACTTATGATGTTTTTGTATCTTTTGCCTGACATAATCACCCAATAATGTATGCTTTAACTCATAAGTTACTGTTTGTCACATGCACAAGTTCTTTGCTCTTAGCCCCATAACTGCAGAGACTACCAGTTGTACCAAATGGACGTGAAAGTATGAATTCTTAAATGGTTTAGGGGAATTGGAAAATCAAAACTTTTACGGGATATTTTGGCTACCATAATAGAAGCAATTTTCCATGAGCAGGATTGATTTATTAAGACTTTCACATTATCCTATGGCAGTATCTGAAAGATCAATTTTTGGAGTGAGATGTGTTGTTTGTCATTAAGGACTTCTTAGTGCAATCCTTTTCGATCAATTAGATCCTTGTAACTCACTACTGAAATAGCTTCACAGATGAGTACAAAATCATCCTATAAAATTTCATCTCCTGTTATTATGTTTATGATATTCTAATGTATTTTTATTATGTATCTTCTTGTAAAAAAAGGATCATCATAGCTTGGCTAAGACCATGTACGTGACCTTGAGGTGCCCTATGTTTGTTTTGTTGTGGACTGCAGCTTATGTTATACATGCAATATCATGATTTTTATCCTATGCTCCACTTGTATGTTTTTGCTTCGAGTTGAATCGTTTGGACAATTTATCTAGCTCCTTTATATGAGTGCACTATTATTTATTTGATGTGGGAAGCTGAATCGAACACTTTTGTTTTATCATCACAATATGAAAAATCCTATGAAATAATTCTGGTATAATAATTCTTTTCCAGATTATGAAGCTACTGAAGCTTTTTGTTGCTTATGAGAAGGATTCTGATGTCAAATTATTGATAGTGAAGGTAAATTAATAACTCATCTAGTACTAATTTACAGAGAATGTCAACCTTCACATATGTTGCCTTTTTTAGCTTGTGTATGTGAGAAATACTCCATTAAAGTTAGAAGCACTAATTCATGGCATGTCTATCATCTGAAGAAAATCCAATAATTCACAGAGACCAATTCAGATAGCCAATCGCTTAAGGGTTTTTTTGGCTATTTGGATTGCTCATGTTTCCTTGGTGCATGCTTTTCAGTCATAAGGATGCAACAACAAATGTGATAAACAATGATGATTGGTGTTTCCAGTGTTCTGTAGGACCCCATACCAATTCATGAAATTCTTCCTATGATATTCAGTAATTCCAAACATTCTACTTCTTATCTTGAGTTGTCAGATATTCGTATTCATCTTGCTTCTGGCAAATATCTGAAGCTAGTTTCACATTCAGGTGTTGAATCTCTACTAATGATGGGGATAGATAAGTGTGTGTGTGTGTGGATGTTGATTCAAACAATGATTTTGAAATAGGAAGGGTTCAGTTTTATTATTTTTTTTCTGGTACTGGGAAAGTTTCAATTTGGTTACAACTAAGTTATAGTTTG